TCGCTGGCCGGCGTGAGGACGGAGTGGTTCGGTCGTCCGCCCTCCGGCGGGGGGGGGTGGCCTTGCCTCTCCACTCGGGGACGGACTTAAGAGGAGGCACAGCTGTGTGGGGTGCCGGGCTGCTGCTGCTTTTCTAGTGGGGGTTTTGGGGACTGAACCCAGGACCTCATGCACGCTAAGCACGCGCTCTGCCCCTGAGCTCTGCCCCCACCCCAGCTGCTGCTTAATGTTGCAGTGGGAGCATGATGTTCTTCTGTGGCTTTGTACGTCCCAAATGGACGCAGAACCCCACGTAGTTCGCAGAGCGGTCTGCTTAGTCACACTGGCGACGGCACCGTCTTGTAGCTGCCCACGTTTCTCTCAGGGTGAGGAGGCCTGGCTCACGTAAGGTGGATTCTGATGTCCACGTGCCTTTTCATCTCTTTCAGTTATCTCAGCTGTATCCCGAAGAAAATCTGGAGAAATTCATTCCTTGCTTAGCTGGCCCAGATTCGTTTTATGTAGAGCGAAACCACATGGATCTGGAAGCGGACCTGAGGTAATGCTCCTCACCCGCCCAGGTGACTGACGGCCGCCTGCGGGGCCGGGGCCAGGCGGGGCCAGGCGTGACTGCCGGTCATCTGAGGTGCTCCCTTGGTGACGCGTGGCTCTGGCTGGTTTGTGTCTCCTCTTTGCCTCTAGAGATTTTCATCAGTTGTGGAGAATTGGAGGATCTTAAAGACCTGGCCATGATTTTGAGGATATAAGTAAAGGAATTTCAAAGTACATGCCACCGTTTAATGTAGTTTTGACAGACTTAATGAAATAAAATCTGATCACTGTTTCTGTCATACAGTTAGTTGAAAGGTGAGACTGTTCCAGGTTAAACCTAGGACCTAATTAAAAAGTCTCCCTGGCCAAGTATCTCTGGACCCTTGACTGTGTCCTGACACACTGGTTGTGTAAATGTGCTAGGAGGGGCAGGCCTGCCCTGGGGCCCGGACCCAGGACTCGGGACCCAGGACCGACGTCTGAGTGCAGCGTGGTGACTGACAGCGGTGATTATGCTGGCTCACGACAGCTCGTGGCCACGTCGTGGGCCCTGAGAACTCGGTTCACACAGGGCAGTACGGTGTAAAGGAGGACAATTAGATTGAAGCAAAGCAGGCAGAGTACAGGTTAAGGCACTTCTGTTTAATTCTCTCTGATACATATTTTTCTTAATCAAAAATTAAAATTTCTCTCCCAACTAGTTTTTGGAAATACATTTTAATGCTGATAAAAGCACTTTGTTTAATTTTTAGGTATTTGGCTTCCTTACCTTCTCACATATTAAAAAATGACCATGTTAAGAAGTTTTTCAGCACTTCATCTCCCACCCAACAGCTTCAAAGTCCAAGTGAGTTTGTAAAATTTGAGTAAATAAAAACAGAAGCATTTTTATTGTCTGTAAACTTCATGATGTTTATTTTAATTTATAGGTCCTGGCAACCCTTCCCTTTCTAAAGTCGGTACCATGATGGGCGTGTCTGGAAGGTGAGACTTCCACCCTGTAACCAGCAAACACGTTTCAGATCAGCATTGTTGACAGAGGTTATTTTCCATTGTGTGTAAATAATCGTTCTTAGAGTTAAGCCATTTCTGGCCTTAGTCTTGAATCATTGTGAGAGAATTAGATAGAGGTAGTCCACTTTTTGATTCCTCCAAAAAACAAAAAAACAAAAACAAAAGTAGTTCTCTGCATGCCTGGAATTGGAATTCCCCAGGACTCTTATTGCAGATGCCAGTTTCTGGGCCCTGCACATTCTAGGAAGCCAGAATTTCTGAAAATCTTCACTTTTAAAAGCTCCTGGCATAGGGGAGGATATAGCTCAAGTGGTAGAGCAGATGCTTAGCATGTACGAGGTCCTGGGTTCAATCCCTGGTACCTCCTCCAAAAATAAATAAGTAAACCTAATTACCTCCCCCATTAAAAAAGAGAAAATAAAAGCTCCTTGAGGAGCAATTAAGCCCATAAAGGGCCAGAGTTGCTGCTGTAGGGATCCTCCACCAGCGCCAGCCTGGCAGTGATGGAGGTAGCTCAGGTGACAGGCAGAGTGCCTGTCCCGACCGACAGCTGAGATTAGAATGGGCTCACATGACAGCCGGCGCACGCACGCTCACACACACACACCCCCCGTATGAGGTCTTTGAAAGTGCTGACTGTCTTCTTCACCCGCTGCCTGGTGTGTAAGCACGGAGGAAATACGTGGGCTTGCAGTGTACTGTGGGAGGGGCACGGGCAGACAGTGGAGCTTTTGCTCCTTCCAACCTTCTAGGATTTACTTTTTAAAAAACAATTAATTTGAATATTAAAGTTCTTGGAGTCAGTGTTGATATGTGATTGTCCATATCATCCTGTGATAGGACTCACAGAAAGTGACCAGGCAGCTCAGCCAGAGTCTGGTTGACACACTCGTGTCCGTGCACATACATGCACACACATATCCTCAAGCACAGTGGGTAGGTGGGTGCACACAGACGAACAAGCACGCACATGCACATGCCTCCCAACGGGAAGCTCGGGCTGGCAGGTGCTGGGGAGAGGCAGCAGCTGGGTCGAGGGCTCTGACGTCAGCGGCGGACACCAGCACAGACACAGGGCTGCCCCCCGGCAGGGGCAGACTCGTGGTGTCCCCAGGGGAGGCTCTGGTCCTGTGAAGACAACCTGTCCGCTGTTCCTGCAGGCCCGTGTGTGGAGTGGCCGGCATCCCGTCCTCTCAGGGCGGTGCCCAGCACCACATGCAGCACCCGGCCAGCTCGGCCGCCCTGCCCCACTGCTCGCATGCAGGGGGCGCGGGCTCAGCCCTGGCCTACCGGGCCCAGATGGACACCTCGCCCGCCATCCTCATGCCTTCCGGCCTGCAGGCCCCTCAGACCCAGGAGCAAAATGGGATTTTAGATTGGCTACGGAAGCTGCGTTTGCACAAGTACTACCCCGTCTTTAAGCAGCTCACAATGGAGAAGGTATGCTGGTCACTGCTCGTTTCTCCTGTAACCGGTCTTTCTTCGGACCTTGTTTCTAGCAGAACTGAGTCGGGTTTCTGAAATGTGTATGCTGTGGAGATCATGTCCTGGTGTGTGACACTGGCAGGTGCGGGCCCCAGGTCCCGGGAGTGCATGGAGGTGTTTGGGGATTTGAATTTGAAGGCTGCCTACAGCTGAAGCAAACACTGGAGCACAGTTGTAAACAGCTTTTTAAAGACAGTTTGGGGTCTTCACAAATTAGATACTCCGTGTGACCTGAAGGATGCGGTGTCCCCAGCAGCCCTACCGCAGGCAGAAGCACTGAGCTCTGGAGCCCAGGCCCCTTTCTGTGGTGCCCCTCAGTGCAGGCCAGTGCGTGCGCTGGAGCTCAGCTCAGGAAGCCGACTTTACAGGAGCCCCTCATGCTTTGATCCAAGGAGGTGGCTGGCTGGTGCTTTTTCTTCAGTTAGGGTCATAGAGCTAAAAAAAAAATAGGTGAATTTGATGGTTTTCAAGAGATCCTACATAGAAATTATGTTCTATAATGGAGAGTTTTGATGAGGAGCATTTTTTTCATTGTTTAAAAAGTTTTGAAATAGCTGAAGTCTCACTGTCAGTGATGAAAGTAAATTAGACCTGTACCTGGTATCTGAACTCTGAGCGCCCCCTGCTGGATAAAGTGACTTGGTGGCTTTTATCTTTGTAATATTTTGTCCAAAAATCTGGAGTGTCTAGAAATCAAGCTTTTACTGCATAATAAAAAACAAATTTTAAGTGTATTTGCAACACTCTTAGCTTAGGACTTGTAAATCTTAAAACCAACAGATTTTACTAACCTTGGTTGTGATAAGTTTAAAAAGTTTTAGTCTAACGTACGAGTTGAAATGGCTAAAATCACAGACCATGTCTAAGAACCAGGTACCATCTTCTTGCTAAGTATAAGGCCAGTGGGTTAGGTGGCCATTCCAGTCAGATGGCATCTACTTTTCTGGGTCATTTGCTACCCAACAGTTTCTGTTGTCCCTAAAATGACTGTGATTTCAAGAAGAAAGAGCCATTAAAAGAAGATTCTGTTCCCGTCTGTGGGAGGACAAATGGTGTGTGTTTGATGGGGGAGCCCTGGGGTGGGGGGACACGTCCACAAGCTGCATCTCTGCAGCAGTCGAGGCTGTAGGACAGCGTCTTTAGTCACCGGCCCGCACAGTACGGCCCTCTGAGGGGATGGGTCTTCACCAAGCCGTTGCTCAGATGCAGGCTCCGTGCACACAGCCTGGGACCCTTAGACGCAAAGTGAGTGTCTTGTGTTTTGAACCATGGACACCAAATCATTTAGCGAGTGAATGTTTTAGTGTTCCCTGGCCTTCTGTTGTCTAGGTAAGGCTCGATCTGTTCACATGTCCTAGAGGTAGAATACATTTATTAAATTAAGCTACAGATTCTTTGTTTTCAGAATCCTAATTCATTCTTACTAACTTTATAATTTGTTTCCTCTGTGTAAGTTTCTAAGCCTTACGGAAGAAGATCTAAATAAATTTGAATCCCTCACCATGGGAGCAAAGAAAAAACTCAAGACCCAACTGGAGCTGGAGAAGTGAGTGTGAGATCGTGTGTGAGACGGGCGTCTGTCTGTCTCAGCGTCAACACGTGGGGCGGGCGCTGGGGCTTAGGAACTCTCAGTGACTGGGTTACTTTTGATAGCTTATCGAACCTTAATTAATGCTTTAAAAATGCTACAAATGCGGCTTGGTTTGCTAGGAAAGGCCCTTGATAGAGAATCTAAGTCAGAATGCGTTATCTTCCACCCTGGAGATTATTTTGGTGGAAATCTCCTTTTTATGGAATATGTGTACTTAAGCAGAGTTTGTGGAACACTGAAAGGTTCTTCAGTGGAAGTGAACACTCGCGTACTGCTATGCTTGCTTGTTGCACAGGGAGAAGTCAGAGAAACGGTGCCTGAACCCCTCGGCTCCACCCCCAGCCAGCGGCGGTGGAGTGGCCCGCGTCCCCCCCACCAGCCACGTGGGGCCGGTGCAGACCGTGCGAAGCAACCATGCTGCAGGTGGGTGGGCCGGGCGCCTGGGCCCGCCGTCCTGCTGATGAGCGTCAGACCTGCCCTATTTCCAGTTCCATTTTCTAGTATTTACAGTTACTTTTCATTATTTTAGCTTTTGTAGCTTCTACCATTGGAAAACAGAAGGGATATATGGGTTAGAAGCTGGAGACTGGTACTCGCCTGAGGTTGTCTGGGCAAAAGATAGATCTAGAAACGACTATGTTGAAAGCAAAGCAGCAGGAAGTACAGGAAATGGATGAAAATCTCAGCCCCCAGAGGCATGTGCAGGGAGGTCATTTGAGGTCATTGCCTTGCAGGCGGGTCCATCTGGAGGTCCTTACTGCCTTCCTCCTCGCCTCAGGAAGAGGTGGCGTGGACAGCTGTTTTCCTTATGCCCTAGAAATACCACAAGTGACAGTAAACTGGCAAGAAAAATATGTCAGCATAGCTTTTCAGTGGTTATTTGACTGAAAAGGTCTTAAGTCCTTGGGCCTCAGAGAACGGGGGTCTCCAAGCTGCTTTTGTAGCGCCTCGCTGCCCTGGGAGCCCTTCCTTCTTATCCTGCAGCGATTGCTGGGGAGGCCGAGAGCACACCATGGTGCACCTGCCGCAGGGCCAGCCTTGCAAGCCTCGGCCCTGTGTGAGTCAGGGCAGGGTCGCCCTGCCTCCTCGGGTGGCTGTGAAAATGAGGGCGAAAGGTGTGCCTGGAGGGGGTGGGGAAGGTACAGTCAATGCTGCCTGCATGGCCCCCTCCACGTCCTGAGGCGCCTGGACTTGGGCGCCACCTTTGGACTGTCACCTGTCCCTTCTCGCAGCACTGCGGGTGGAAGTGGAGCAGCCCCCTCACCCGACGGCCCGGGAAGGCAGCTCCTCGGAGTGCTCCAGCTCCTCACCCAGCCCGATGGGGGTGCAGGCCCGGGAAGAGAGCTCGGACAGCGCAGAGGAGAACGACCGACGTAAGGATGCCCACGCGGCCTGCCTGTGTGGCCCGGCCCGGTGAGCCGGGCAGTGTGCTGACGCCCTGTTTCCGACTCTAGGTGTGGAGATCCACTTGGAGGGCCCGGACAAGGAGAAGCCCGTGATGCTTCTGAACCATTTCACGTCCAGCTCCGCCAGGCCCACGGCCCAGGTTCTCCCCGTGCAGAACGAGGCAGGGTCCAGTCCATCAGGCCACCACCCGCTGCCTCCCCAGATGATGCCCGCAGCCTCGCACATTGCGCCCATCCGGATGCTGAACTCCGTGCACAAGGCGGAGAGAGGGGGCGCTGACATGAAGCTGCTCTCGTCCTCTGTGCACTCACTGCTGTCTCTCGAGGAGCGGAATAAAGTCTCTGGACCAAGAAGCGGCGTCAAGGTGGACAAGGGCTTCGGCAGTGCCATGGTGGATGTGCTGCCCACGCCCGCCCCGCATCAGCCTGTGCAGGTCCTCCCTGGACTTGCCGAGAGCAGCTCTGTGTCACCCACCGTCTCCTTTGGTCCCCGCACCAAAGTTGTCCACGCGTCCGCGCTCGACAGGGTGATGAAGCCGGCGCCACAGCCGGCACTGGTGGTGGAGACCAGCAGCGCCGCCACGGGCACGCCGAGCACCGTCTTCCACGTGGCCCGGCCGCCCATCAAACTTCTGGTGTCTTCATCTGTCCCTGCGGATTCCGCCATTTCCGGGCAAACCTCTTGTTCTAATAACGTGCAAATAAGTGTGCCCCCGGCAATAATCAACCCCCGGACTGCCCTGTACACAGCCAGCACCAAAGCTGCCTTCTCTGCGGTGAGCAGTGTGCCCGTGGGCCCCCTGCAGGGCAGCTTCTGTGCGAACAGCAACACTGCCGCCTCCAGCAGCCACCCTTCCACGTCCTTCGCAAACATGGCCCCCGGGCCTAGCTGCCCGGCCCCCAGCTCCAGCCCCGCGCTCTCCTCTGTCCCCGAGAGCAGCTTCTACAGCAGCAGCAGCGGCGGTGGGGGCGGCGGCGGCGGTGGCGGCTCCCCCGGGAACATCCCTGCCTCGGCCCAGAACCACCACCACCACCACCACCATCAGCAGCAGCCAGCGCCCCAGCAGCCCGCGCCCGCCCCGCCGCCCGGCTGCGTCGTCTGCACGTCGTGCGGCTGCAGCGGGAGCTGCGGCTCTAGCGGCCTGACCGTCAGCTACGCCAACTACTTCCAGCACCCGTTCTCGGGCCCGTCCGTCTTCCCCTTCCCGTTCCTGCCTTTCAGCCCCGTGTGCGGCAGCGGCTACGTGGGCGCCCAGCAGTATGGCAGCGGCGCCTTCCCGGTTGTGCACTCGCCCTACGGCAGCGGCGTGGGCCCTGAGCCTGTGCTGGGCGGCCAGTCTGCCTTCGCCGTCCCGCCCGTGCAGAACTTCATGGCGGGGGCGGCAGGTGTCTACCAGGCCCAGGGGTTGGTGGGCAGTAGCAATGGTTCCAGTCACAAAAAGAGCGGGAACCTCTCGTGTTACAACTGTGGGGCCACCGGTCACCGCGCTCAGGACTGCAAGCAGCCGTCCATGGACTTCAATCGGCAAGGTAAAGGCTCCCGAGGCTAGCAGTGCGGCGCGCCCGAGGAGAGGGCAGACAGGGCTATCCTTTACTGAAAGTGGTAGTCAGCTTTCTTGTTTCTAAAGCAAACAGTGATTTTTCACATGCTCTCTGCAAAAGCATGAAATTGTCGATAGGCTGTGCAGCCCCGACGGGGCTGCTTTGGTTCCGAGACTGTCTTTACGACCTCCGCCTGCTCCCCGTTCTGGAGCGCGGCCAGCTGGCTGCGGAGGCGCCACGTGACTGGGGAGCAAGTGTGGGTGATTTACTGCCATCGCCAGCGTTTACCTGAGAACCGAGGGCGTGGCACGTGAGTTCAGAGGCTGCAGAGGGAACTCGCTCTCCCTGCTTCTGTCCCCGCCGTCCAGGGCGGCTGTGGCTGTGGCTGCTTGGTGTCCTCGCTCCCTGGGCTGCATCTTCTTTCTTGCCCCTTTCCTCCTCTCTGTCTCCTTCAGTCAGATTCCAGTGTGTGTCTGCTGTGGTGACTACACCAGGTTTGTTCTTGCTGCCTGTCTTGGGAAGATGAAGCTGGCATTGGACAGGCTGGTTCCAGCCTGTGACTGCTCGCTGCAACCGTGGAGAGTCAGTCACTCGCTTTCTGGAGACTTGAGGGTTGCTCCAGACCTGCCTGTGCCCCTTAGTCACCTGGAGAGCTTCACAGACAAACAGGCAGCAGGTGGGGTGACTATGGGCTGTGGCCACCCCTGCTGATAGAGCTGTGCTGCGTCTCCTGACGCGGTGAGCCCAGGGCCCCGGACCCCGTGGTGGTGGCCAGGCCTCCTTGCCCTTGTCCTGGGGAAGGGGGCTGCGTGCCGTCTGAGCTCCCAAAGAGTGAAGAAATGGAGTGGGAACTCTTCAGTCATTTCACTCCTTGTCTGATTTGATAAACTTAAAAAATATTGTCCAGTTTGGGGTTGGGGGAGGGAAGTTGGGTGTGGTTAGAGCAGGTGGTCTAGATTTCCGGACCCAGTGTCTTGACCAGTGTCTCTGGAAATAACTTTGGACAGTTCATGGCAGTAATTCTAGTGATTCAAATTTGATCTCTTTTTTCTCCCCCCTCTCCAGGTACTTTTAGGTTGAAATATGCCCCTCCAGCAGAGAGTCTGGACTCCACAGACTGATATTTTTCTCTGGCAGCAGAACACTATTAAGCCATGGAGACCTAAGGAAAATTAAATACAAAACTGAGAAGTCTAGTTGCTATCGAGCTTAATATTTTTAATCCAAAGGTGCTTTACTTTTACTAGACTGGATAGAAAACCTAGTGTAGGAATGCATCAAACTCAGTTTTATTGCCAAATCCTAGATGGGAGCTTGATGTCAGGACTGGCCTAGTGGGTGTCTCCACTGTGGGTGAGAATTGGCCACCTCCACTCTTGGTCGCAATGCAGAGACCTCCCGTCCCCCGAAGAGCATTGCCAGGATTGGTCCTTCTAGGCTCACACGTAATTCCAGGGCAGCTACGTGAGGCTGGAATCGAGAGCTGCAGGCCGGAGTTTTCCAGGTGGAGTTCCAGCAGTCGGACTCTTGACACCCCTGGTGAGGGAAAATGTCACCTTTGTTCTGTTCTGTTCTGTTCCGTTTCGTTCCTAAAGTGGTTAGGCACTAATCTCTGGGCTTCTTAAGGACTGCACTTGCGAAGAATGTAAACTGATGTCAATCTCTGCAGCTCTGGGAGACAGACTCCCTGAGACCAGTCAGTGCAAGACACTCAGAATCCGTTTTTAAAGAGTTGGCACCAGCAGGCTACATGAGTTAGTACACAACAGAGATTTTAGTATTTCCTTCCCTCCTTAAAACACTTGTAGCAGTTTCAGGTTTTCAATTTTTTTTCTGCAGGTAAATTTATTAAACTATGTTATTAGATAGAAATAGTTACTCGCAACAACTTAATTTCTAAGGGTCCAAGTCCCAGAGAATCCCTAGTTGTCAAGGCTTTGAGGACACCTTCCTCCCCAGCCCTGCAGAGCTTTGAGCCCTGTCGTCTTCCACACAGAGGAGCTCGGGCAGAGACATAGCAGCACAGCCTCGTGAGTGGCTCTGGTGGATGCCGCACGCCCTTAGCCCAGTGGTGAGTTCTTTTATCTCCCATGGACTCCCCGAGGACCCCAAGGCTTACTGCTAACGGATTCACACTCGAGACAGACATTTCAACAACAATTAATACAGTCCTATAATTTATGAGCAAAAGATTTGAAATTTTCTCCTGTCAACTTCTTTTGTATTAGACTGTGTATCAATAGGTAGTTCTGTTAAAAATTACCTGGAAAACTACAATAGAAAGTGGTAAGACTCTGAAAGAGACCACACCGACAGGACAGAGCCACAGGATCTGCAGAAGTCTAGTTGTGTCAAGCCCACCACACAGCTCTCAGCTTCGTCCCACTGCAGTGAGAGCTTTTGGCCTGAAATTTAGGGACTTAAAGCTTCAAGGCGAAAGGGAATTTTCTGCTCAAATAATACTGTTTTAAATGCTACAGCTTTCCATATTAAAATAGTGATTGGTAAGGCCTTGCCCAGGGATTTTTCCAGTTGAATATTAAACAAAGAAAATCACAATACTCAGACCATTCTTGGAATGGGACAATCAGCCTCGTGCAAAATCGGTGTTAACTCACAAGAATGCGGTGGAATTTGAGGCGTTGTGACGTGAGCTCAGTTTCCTGGCTTCATGGGAACTAAAGCAGAAAGTTACTACATTTTTTTAATGAAAGGCTTTTAGTAGAGTTTTGTAGAGTTTTATTTTAGTAGTTTCATTTCTATGCAATGCAGAATTGACAGCCCTCTGTACTCTCTCTCCCTGGTACACAGTGTTACATATGGTTTTGAAGTAATGATGATGCTCACAGCAGCTTTTGGGGGGACTGTTACATTGATCTCTTAAATTATAAACACTACAAAATGTCAAGATAATGAGAACTGACACAACCTTGCCTTAAAGCGTACTAGACTGGAGCTTGTCGTGTTGTGTTTAAGGAAGACTTGGAGTGTTCATTGATGTTTACGATTTTAATATTTCTGAAGGCCATTACAGTGGCCTAGATATGTGCTGAAAGCCAAACTTTTAAAATTTTTGGTTTTTTTAAACAAAGAAATATTTTAAATAAATCCTATTTCAACACAGTGCAATTGTTGAAAACTGTCTCATAAAGAAAAAAAATCATATTTAGGTTTTTGGTTTTAGTGGTCAGTACTGGGGGATGAAAGTGTCTGCTGTTACCCTTCTAACTATTTTGATAAAAAAATATGAAAGAGGTTAGAGTCAAATACAACAAAAAATTAAAACAAACTTTGGTTTTAAGTATGACACTCAAGTTGAGGCCAGTAAGTTCAGACACTGTGACTGTGTTCCAGTCATCAGAGGTCTTGGAGAAGCTCCCAGCTGTCTGGGCCAGTGCGTGTGCAGAGTGATGCCTCCAGCGAGGCCATTCAGAGTCTGAGACAGGACACACGGCATTCAGCTGCCAATCCGTGAGACCTCTTCCCGAGTGAATCCCGTACTTGGGAACATTTGTTAGCAGTATTCTCTCTGATGAAATTCCTCTCCGAAAGCAACCAGTCAGTAAGCCTAAAGGTGATCTGGCATTTCCTTAGAGCACATCTTCATCAGCTAGAAACACAGGTCAGACTGACCCTTCCAGCTACTTACCCATCTTCTTGAAATTGTGGGCAGGTTCCAGGCGCTGTGGCAGCAGGTAGGTGTGGCACAGCCACTCCGCTCTGTGTAATTTGTCATATTTTAAAGTTTCTAGCCCCATTTTTCATCTCCAAGAATGGAGAGAGTGGAATGTGCAGATTGAAGTAGAATACAATGTTGGGATAAAACACTAATCTCTTTGTTTTTTAAGCAAAACATCCAGTTTTCTACCTTATTTTCTAATTTTTATTTCATGGTAACATTGAAAATCGGAAGGTGTATAAATGTTAAAACTTTTAATTGCTAAAGAGCACTGAGGAAATGGGAGCTAGCACGTAGAGAGAAAGCTATTTTCTGGAAAGCAGATACGCGATTGGGTATTTTAAAAACCAGCATCGCCTATAATCTCCAAAAAGCTACAGGAGTCAGCTTGTTAATATAGTAGTTAGTCGGTTCAGTATTTTAATTCACTATTTAGAACTCTAGGTCCTTTATCACCAGGAGTCCACACAGTCCGTTCACACTGCACAACGTGTACGGAGGCGCACCGTGGTGCAGTAACTGCCTGACGGCTGCAGCTCGTTCCTGTGGAGCCCAGGCTGGCGAGGCTTGCCTTTGTCCAGCCCCCCCAGTGTTGCCAGGGAGCACTCACCGAGCACGAGTCGGGTCACACCCTGCTCGCCCCCTGTCGTTTTGTCACTCTCCCTGCTTCTGTGATGGCTTACTTGATGCCTTGCTAGTTTTACGTACTGATAACCGATGGCGTTACACGTTGAAGAGTCTTAAAGGTTCTAAGGGAAACCGTGACCCTGCTCAGCTGGACCACCCATCCCGGTGGGGATGGGCCTGTGGGACCTGAGCAGGTTGGCCGTCCTTTCCAAAGTGCAGGTGACTCCCAAAGAATGAGGCAGGTGACACTTAAAGCCATAGGTTCTGAAGAGGCTTAATTACTGAAAAGTCCCGAGGTTCTGACTGAAAGTGAGTATCTTAATTCAACACTCGACACTGTGCTGGTTGAGCCCGAAGGTCAACATCACTACACTGTTAATGGAGGGAGGGGCGCGCTGGCCAGTCCGTCCCTGTGTTAGAACAAGCCCCTCACGTGGGAAAGTTCTTAGATGCACAAAGACAAAGGCTTTGGTCCTGAAACTGAAGACCTCGTGTACTCAAGAATCTTCACAGCTTCTATTGGACATATTTTCTTTTTAGGAATGAAGGAAAATTCTCCCATTTTTGAGCCATTCTTTTATGTCAATTCTATAAAACTGCATGTAACTTTATAAATATTTTTAAAAGATATAGTTTTGTAAATATTTAATATTCTGCTAATTTGATTTTGAATTGTAAATGTCAAGTATTCTGTTTTTGGGGTTTTTATGTTTTATTATACTTTGTTAAAAAGGAAAAAATTGTACATTTTTAGAATGTTTTTATGAGTAAATTTAATGTACTGAAAATAAAAAATTTTAAAAAATCTATTAGGTCTCTGTCTCATAGACTATGAAGCACACATCTTTTTTCTTTTTTTTTCTTCACTCCCATCTTTTCAAATGGGAATTCTTATCTCCAATCCAGGACTGTGGTGCTATCCTGAGCAGTGCCAGGCCCCAGAGGGAGAATTCTGGTGCCTTTCCTCCAGCAGGAGCCCCCAGTTTCTCTTGGTCAAACCGGAGGTTACTTGGAGGAAGACACTCCTGGCAGGTAAACGGCATCAGGAGACAGCTGGTCCCACCTGGCACCTGCTAGCAGCCCCTTGGATGGGGAGGGCCTTTCTGTCTGGTCACCTCCAGGGTCTGTGTTTTCCTGAGGAGACCATACAGGCCAGGTCGGGGGTGGGGGGCGTGTGCACAGCTGCTGAGTAACAACCTCAGGGAAGCAAAGCATTTCCTCCACTAGCTCCCTACATTTTTCTGCAAAGTTTTTTTTCCTGGTGGGAGGTGGGGGAGATAATTAGGTTTATTTTTTAGAGGTACTGGGCACTGAACCCAGGACCTCGTGCATGCTAAGCATGTGCTCTCCCACTTAAGCTCCCCCACCCCCTCCACAAACATTTAAGTGCCTATTTCAATCTGAGTTGGGTCCAGAGTTTTCAAGTGACTATGCGGGCCACTTGGCTGGTGTCTGTACTGTATCTTTACCTGCTGCAGCTCCTCACACGGCCACTGGGAGTGCCATGCACCACACAGTGCCTTCTGGACCGCAACCCCCACACTCAGTGCCTTTTGTTTGCTGTACTTTGTTCACTGAGAGCAGGTTTTCAAGGGTTTATCTCCACAAAACGCCTAGGTCCCTCCCACATCTGTCCTCCTTCCCCATACTTTGTGGTGTGTCTAAGTTCTCGAGAGGTAAGCAAGGTGCCCATGACAAAGCAGAGAACTTCAGAGGTGGGTGTCCCTCCATCGTCTGTTCCCAGCACGGAGAAACCAGCCTCCCAACTTGTTAGAAAGATATTACCCACATTTGGATTTGGATGATACAGACTGCAAGTCTTAAATATTAATCCATTAAATTGAACTTGATGACAGTTTTTAGTTGTGCCTTTATTCACCTTAGTTCATTAAAAATGTACTTGTTTTAAAGATCCTATAAATCGAGTGACCACCCACTAATCTGGGGTACAAATCACCCCTCTTAGCATGGTATTTTTCTTTAAAAAGCAGAATTTCTTTAAGGAATCTTATTGATCACGCAGTAGTTACAAGAATGTCAGATATAATGATGTATACAATCTAAACAAGACAGGCTGATTAAGAATTTACATAATGTAAAAATATACATATTAAGAGTTAGCCATGTGGACAGATGCATGCAATGGGAGGAGGAGCTGCTGGGGTCAAGGGCCCATACGCAGTGATACTGCTGCTTCCTCCATTAGAGGGAATAACTTCCACTAACAGATACAGGCGATCCACACACACCTAAATACACAAGGGTAAATGGTGACCTGCTACAAGTAGTCTAAGTGGTCACAGGCCTTTCTGTGCTAAGTCCCACGTGGAGAGTGAATCCCATGCAGGTAGTAGGAAGCGTTGGTTATTTATTCTAGTTGGCCTTGGAAAATGGAACTTGACGTTAATATTCGTGAAGAGCATAGTCCTCCTTTTGCTGTTTTCAAGACGGACATGCATGTAGAGGGGGGATTTCTGACGGCTGCCGACCTAACAGTGACAACTGAAATACTCTTAATTAAATTAAAAATATGGTAACATTTTAGTCACATACTTAACATAAAACATGGATCAACTACAGCTTTTAAGCCAAAAGGCAGAGGAAGCGCATCTGAATTCTAATGCTTTTAGTCTCAGTATTCTGTAGTTTTCTACCTCTGTCCTAAAGAAGAAAGTGACCTAGCTGTTCACCAAAGCAGGCACCGGTTTGGGCTCATACACATTATTATTCAAAGCAGAAGAAATGTCATTCTTTTTCTCCAGGCCTTTTAAGAAACTTAACCAAAATTATATTCAGAGTTCCTGTTAAGCAGTGTTTTTCTGTGTTACCGTCTAGAGAACAAACCAAATGTGAACATTATAATGTTAAGCGTGGACGTGGAATACACTCATTAGCGATCAGGAACCATCAACAGCAGCTCAGTTTTCTCACCCCCCCCCCCCGCTTTCTGCCAACTATTACGGCAAATGTAGGGGTTTTTGAGGGGTGGGGGGATTTGGCTATGCCTGACAACTTATGCTTAAAGATCCTCTTACGGAGATTTCTCAGCTGAGTAGAAGTCCTACAAAAAGCTGGCAGGTTCTGTGAACGTAGAGAGAAGACAATGTCTCTCTGAATGCTCAAAATGCAAGTTCCTTTTGGGGAAAGAGCATTAAAATAACTTGACGGTCTATCTTACTGGCAACTTAGAATGCAAAGTATTTTATTTTTAAACTTCTGAATTTGAAAACAAGACAGCCTAGGTTAAATAATAAAGTTTTCCAAAGCTGAGTGTGCTCACTTGGAGCTGTTTTTCTGCTTGAAATACAAAAAAAACTCCCTAAAACTCCTAGGCAGGAGCACTGCTGTTCTGATGATCTGATTAGATGGCCTGACCTCAGCTGGTAACATCCCTTTTTCATTCCTTGGTAAGGGTTTAAAAAGATTTTAGAACAGACGCATTTTTCTAGTCTTACACAGACAATTTCACTCCGAAAGTCTCCTGAGAGGCATACACCATATACAGGAACCCATCTTCGTCCTTCTCGCTTTCGTACACTTCACAAATTGGTGTGGACACACTCACCATGCTGTGTCCGTTCACTAACAGGAAGAAGGCTTGGTTAGCGTTGAGCTGTAAGCGCCTTCTGTTGAAAGAAACGTGAAGAAATACTGATACATCAGTAAGTAGGGAGAATGTGTGAAAACACCACCCACTCCATCCATGGAAGTATGAAGACTCTGTAAACGCTGCTTCTGGTGCATGCCTTACTGACGATGACTTGGATATTTCTTCTCATAAAGCACAGGGTATTTTCTATGATTAGACGCATGATCAGTATTGATAATAATCCTTGCTAGGTCACTCTTACTATACTCCCGAGGCCAGTTTTAAACTAGTATGCTGCCTGAATAGCCACCAGTGTTTAATGTGTGAAAATAGTTCAAAATATAATTTACAAACTAAGATCTAAGCTGGTGCAATTACCAGTGGACTAAGTTTACACTGTCTTTTACTGACTTTGTTACACAAAACTCATATAACTTTTCAGATTACGAGACAACATCTACGTAGACGTTACGATGAAAGAATCAGAACAGACATGAGATTCAGAAATACAAAAACTCAGAAATGAAACATCTTCTAGTTTCATTAAGTTTGCACAGATTTTTATCAGAACTGAACATTTATCTGTAAGTCTGAACGAATGAGAAGCTACCTGAAGAAATAAAAAGGTGCTTTTCAGTACCTAATTATCTTGATGAGCTCACTCATATTGACATGATCAGGCACCAGGAACTTCGTTTTATCCAGGACAGGAAGCTGCTTCTCACCCTTGTATCGTTCTATTATCACCTAGAAGAGAAGCCAGAAAAGTGATTTTAAAATGGCCATTGCAATGAAAAATAAATAAAACACTTCCTATGTTGTAGCTGGCACATGCCAAAATGGGGTTTAAAACAGCACATTCATTAGTTTCCTCCTCATTCTCCTGACGTGTGTTCATTTGTCAGCTTAGACTCCATCCCTTATGAAATACGCTGCCCACGGGACAATGGGGCTACCTCCAGGGAGGGGAGTGTGGCAGCTACTGGGTAGGGAGAGCAACTTTGCTATGAACTGTTACTTAGAAACATGAAAACACACTACCTAGTCAGAAAAAGGCTTGGGGTCTGTCATTTTGATAAAGTATTCTTGATAATTCTTTAATGAGTTTTAAAAGAATCCTGAACTATGCAGGGAACAAAATTAGTTCCACATCATGTACTGAAATAAACCCATTAGCTCCTTGTCACAGTTCCTTTCTATAATTGTAAAAAAATAATTGTTTTTTCTAGTTCTAAGCCACTATACTATAAAGTCGCTGACTGCAGCTTGCTAACTGCACCTGAGTCTCATCACTACCTGTTCACTAAGTACCATGGACACCCCTCTCCATGTACAGCAACCCTCTACCCTGTCACAGAAAGTTGAAGGGTAGGAACGGGAAATATTTAGGAGAGGGGAGAAGTTTGCATGTACTTAGTTCCACTGTATGGCGCCAACATGAGGCTCTTTCTGGGTTAGCCAAGTCAAGCTGCCATCACCTTCTTTGCTGAAATCAATAGCTTTATCTATGAAGTACGTTCAGAACACGATTATTACGTACAAGGAAGTATGAATGGGACTTCTATTAAAAAAAAAACCCAAAACCTGAAACCACAAAACAAACAGACAAAAAACCTTGAAACTACTGGCAGAAAGATGACTCTGTGTGCAGACAGTCACAGTTTACTAGGAGGCTGTGGGACAAACGCTGGCAGACGCTAGGCCAGCCGCTTGTTCCCAGCAACGAGTGCCCGCTAGCAAACAGACACAGAGGGTGCTCAAAGTGAAGAAAACCTTAAAAATAAGGAAATTCCCCAGAAGACTCATCCCCAGGCCAAATGTTAACCCTGAGGGCAAGGACATACTAAAATTTCCAACCAGTCCATGGAACACAGGGAACTACAAAATCCTACGTCGTGACACTGCTTTGCAGACCCACCCTCTTCTGTGCACCTCGCAAACCCCACCTCACAGATCTCACAGATCTCCCATCTCTTCCCTCCCTTTGGTATGAGATCATCAGTCAGAAAGCCAAACGTGAAACTTCTACAGAACTTAGCAGTAGTCTCCTCTAAGTGGTCTGCAGGCTAACAATCACGTCCTTAGAACTGTGCAAATTTTTCCAGCAACTGCTTGAGATGGTTTTCTCTCCCCATTTTACAGATGAGAATATGGTAGCTCTTCTCAGAACTTCAGTACCTACCCCAAGATCACTGAGTAACCTTGAACCTAGAGCCTGAACTCAGCCTGTCTGAAACCAAAAGTTCCTTTTGACCATTTCTCTCCAGACCTAGTGCCTCAGCAGAAACCTATTTAAGGCCCACCACCAAAGGATCCAGGGCAGAGAGCAATAAGCATCTGAGGTCTCTACATATGGCAAGAGCAATGTCCTTCCTCCATCTCCTGCAAAGAAACCGAACATAACAAATATAAGGAGAGAATTCTCTGGGACATCAAAGTCAGGCAGTCTAAAATGTGTAGTCACGGTTAAATCTTTAAATCCTTTAGAAGTGTGTGGATACCATCCTCCATTGATAAAATACCAACACATCTAGCCCCTCTATCCCCAGGTAAATGCATCTGATTTGTGAAGTGTATATATACCATTAAGGCAGCAAAGGAGGAAGCAGAATGATTAGATTAAAAGGTTGTCTAGTGCACTAAGACATCTCCATTCCAGGTCATGAACCTAACACACTGGGGCTGCATGTTTGCGGATTCCTGCAGAAACTCCTGCTACGTAGTTGCACACAGCAGCCCTGTACTGAAGTTGCACTTAAGCAGTGATCTCTTCTGCATACAAGGACTGAAGCACGGACTACCTACCGGGATTTTGGTAGGGTGCTGCTCTCGGATAAGTCGGACATCTTCTACTCTTTGTTCTGCAAAGAAAAGAAACATAGGCATTACTAAGAGCTAAAATGCAGCCTCTTTCATGAATTTTCCCTGGTGACTTCCATATCTGAATTCACCTATCCCTAGCTGTGGCAGAGCAGAGCAGCAAAGACATCTTCCCTAGAACTGAGAGAAACCAAACACTAACACTTCATGTCTGGCAAAGGTTGGCATGTAAGAACAGAGACAACTTACATGGAAACCAACATGCAATTACACGGCTCTATCAGGTGGTATGCCATGAGACCAGGAATACAGAATAAATCAAGTAAATGAGGGCTTGGAACCCCAGGGTCCTAGATACAATTACCAGTCTTTCCTCCAAGGCCTCCTACCACCCATCAATTTATGAATTTTCCAGCCTAAGTTGGTATAAATATCCATAATAAACCCTTCAATGCAATGTTACTACTTCCAGCTTTTTAATGATATAGTGCTTTAAAAAACTACCCAAAAGAAAAGAATATTGAAAAAAATACCTTATCTGAGTTTTACATAGTTTGTCAGTGCCCAAAAGAAATAAAAAGTTTAAAGCACAAAGTCTACTGCTGAATACTTTTCAGTAAGTCTCTGTATTCTCTGCCTTAATATAATCACTTTATATTTTCAACAACTGTATTAGGCTTTTTGGGGAATACAGGAAAAAAAGCCAAGCCAAGTCCAGTTCTCAATAATGTAACAATATAAGTGGAGTCATGCTACGACCTACACAAAGAAATTAATCCTAACATCATTGCCAATTTTGTTTGGATTTTCAAGAAACCACTTCAGTATCATTCTTCATAAAAACCGTTGAAGGTGGGGAGGGTATAGAGCTCAGTGGTAGAATGCGTGCTCAGCACATGTGAGGTCCTGGGTCCAATCCCCAGTACTTCCCTTAAAAAAAAAAAACAAATAACCCCCTAACTATCCCACCCCCTCCAACCTCCCCCTAACTGAAATAATTCCTATATTCAAATATGGACATACAGCTTCTATTTTCCCACCCAACATTTCTGTATCAGCTTCTAAGATAAATCACTAAATATAAACATTTTTGCTACAAAGACTGCAGACTCATAGATTCCTGCCAGCTCATATTTCTATTCACTGAGGCTAAAGATAAATCTAGTGATTATTTGGTCCTGGCAAAGAGCTCCCAAAACCCCTGGAATTTCCTGATACGTGTCTCTTGTTATCCATAACAAGCCCCTTCCAAACACACCTGAGTTTTATATGACTGTTGGAAAGCCTGTGAAGATGAGAACTGGTTGCCAGGGGAACCAACAAAGATTAGCAGGTTGGGACTTTAAGCCCCACCCCCTGACCACAAGGGAAGAGGGAGGTGGCTGAAGACTGAGCCAACCACCACCGGACAATGATGCTAAGAAGGGAGGCCTCCAAAGCACCCAAAATGGTTTGGAGAACTTCCAGGTGGCATGAGTGGCACATACCAAACTCCAAAGACAAAAGCTCCTGTACTCAGGACTCCTCTCCGTAAGTCTCTTCATTGGGGTCTTCACTCCTATCCTTTAAATATCCTTTGCAGTAATCTGGTAATCTAAAAGTTAATGGGTTTTCCTGAGTTCTGTGAGCCACACTCACATGTGAGGGGGTCTTAGAACCTGATTTACAGCCAGTCAGAGAACAACCTGCGCTTGAATTAGGCTTGGGGAGGGGGAGCCAGGTAGGATGGAGCCCTTAACCCCCTGGGTCAGGTAGTGTTGGAAATGAGTTAAACTGTAGGATACCCAGCTGAACTGCTTGATGTGTGGAAAGCCCACTTGTCTGGTGTGAGAAGTGGAAGCGCAGGGTTTAAGGAGGACTAAGGAGATACAGGGGGAGGAGTTTTCCTTTACATCCTCCTTCGAATCCCTCTCTATTTCTGGGGGTTTCACTGATTCCTCTTCGTTGTCTCTCAGCTCTAAGACCTGTTCCTATGTCTGTCTTAGCCCAGAAAAGATGCTCTACCATCAGACCTCGTTACAACAAAAACCTCTATTATGTCAGTAGATTTCAGAAGCCAGGGGAAATCACAATGTCATTAATTCACTGTAGCAAATAAGTAATAACTCTTTTAATATGACCTGGAATGTCTCACACTTAATAGCTTATCCTAATAAATCTAAAAGGCAAGTGGAATTATTCAGGCAGAAGGGGGAAGAGATTTTTTAATGTAAGGAAACAAGTTTATTTGCTAAGTGGAGAAGGAAAAAAACTGGTTCTAAACATGAGGCGTCAAACTATAGTGTCAAGATGTATCTTGACTTATCCCCAAAATACGGTCCAAAAAGGAAGGCAAAAATGGTAACTAAAGGTGGGAGAACTGAGGAAGTCAAGTGACTTCCTTAAGGTGAAAAGAGCAGTACCAAAGTCCCGCAGGAACGTCTTCAGTGTCTTGGCCAATTGCAGTGAAAACCCAGCGGTGCACCCAGAGTAAGTAAATACTGTCCATGTCGATGCTGCTCTTTTTCAGCAGAAGGCCATTTTCAGAGGCTAACAGTATATTTAACAAAAGCATTACCAACAACACAGAGCCAAGGCCCATAAGAGCAATTCATTTACTCAATTATTTTCTTAATGCTGTGAAGATCTGTTTCTTAATGCTGTGATCTGTTTATCATTCGCCTTTCTCAACAGACTGCCCCCGGCAGTCAGGGACCCAGCTCTAGCCACGCCTGTGCTCTCCCAGGCCTCAGGCTTGTACACCTAGATGCTAGTAACGAAAGGAAAGCTGTAAAATGGAAATACTATTCCAAGTCTATGTCAGGATATACTTCCCCAGATTCCTCTTCTTGTCCCCAAGAACTCATAATAAGCCTTACAAAAAGAAGAAAAACAGAATAGGAGTCTAAGCTGTCTTATTTGCAAAGTTGCTTTGCAATTCCCTAGGGCATCTAAAGTAAAACTTACATATATTTTCTAGGACTTAGTTCACTGAAATGGAAGCATATTTTCCCCAATCTGTCTATAAATCATAAATGTAATATCCCATCCATCAAGGGGAGACACAGCATAAGTTCACTTATTCTAGACCAACAAATGCACTCCCCCTAGAGACATGCAGACCCTTTTGTTATCAATGGTGAAACTTAATATCTAGGTTTAACACTGAATCTCAGCAGAATAGTGTCTGGGAGATGGATCTGTCATTAAAGAAACAGGGGCAACCCTAGAAGAAAATGGAGTGAAATGATTACATTTAAGACTGAATCCAAAATTTGCTCAGATACAACTTTAACAGTTCATAAAATTTTCTGCAAGGACACACTATGCCCCTTGACTCAGAGTGCTGGTGCACTTTGGGTTTAGGAAATGTCGGCTACCTACTGGAGGATGGAAGAATTTCTATGACAAGGTTAAAAGTACAAGTCCAGACTCTGCCACTAGGTGGACCATGATCTTGACCTCTCAGGGTCCCACCCAGTTTCTTCAGCCACAAAAGAAAGTGTTTTTGGGGTGAGCCCCAAGATCTAGCTCAACCCTCTAGATCCTGGTAGATTAGAATATATCAGCAGAGCTATACTTTTTAATTAACCTTATCACTCACTTGGAAAGAGCACAGCTCAAGTTAACTAGGATTGGTTCTACAAAGGTCCTTCCAAAGAACTGATTTTCCTCATTTACTGTGCTACAAATTTCTGAAAATTGCCAGGGCTGATTAACATAATCAACAGCAAGGAAAGGCAGCAGCCGTTACATGATATTTGATACTTTTCTGCGAAATGATCATCAAAGAGCTCTTTTTAAAAAGGTGGAAGGCAGTTCTCAACACAAAGAGAAAATTTTCAGGGGGAGGATATAGCTCAAATGGTACAGCGCATGCTTAGCATGCATGAGGTCCTGGGCTCAATCCCCAGTACCTCCTCTAAAAATAAATAAATAAACCTACTTACCACCCCCAAAATAAAAAACAAAGAAAAATTTCCCTTTAATTTTATCTATATAAGATGCATGTTGGCTGAACCCGCTGTGGTAATCATTTCACAATATATGTAATTCAAACCATTATGCTATATATGCCTAGTGATGAATGTCATTTCTCAATAAAGCTAGAGGAAAGCCCACAAGTGCAGTATATGGATGCACTAACGGAGAAAAGAGCCAGCATTCTTTGCCTTTACCCTCAGGGCCACAGGCTCCAGGGTAAATAAATTCCTTCTAATTCACAAGGTATTATTCTTACTTTTCCTACTCTTATTACCCACCCTTCTTCAGAGACTTTTCTAGAATAACCTAAAAATACTCAAAGCAAAAAGAAACTATAGTTTCAGCCATGAGAAAATGGGCATCTTTCCCATACAAATATCCCCAGTTAACTTTCAATGCCAGTCAATAAGGACAGTAACCTGATACAATAGCAAATCTACTTCAAATGCTGCTCTCAAGGCTGCACAGAAACTAAGCAATGTTCGTGAATATCGACTAGTTCAGGAGAGTCACTAAAGAGAAAATCTCTTTAAAAAAAAAAAAAAGGCAAGCCCTAAGTCTTGCTAACCAACCAACCGCCTCAAGGGGCTGAAAGGATATATGCTCGGAAGGCCACCGTGAATTTCGGTAACTGGAGCTTCTCAGGCACAAGAGATGAAATAATCATCGACAATGAGATCTACCAAATCATATCCAAGCTCAAATGTGTGCCCAGCCTCCTGGACTCCACGGAACCAGACAAAACTAGAGGAGCAGTATCACAGCTTAAGATCCTAAAGAAGATTAGGCCAGGAAATTCTCTGTGGCTGGAAGGAGCCCTGGTCCCGCCCTGCTCCACCTGGACTCTACAGCTGCTATAAACAAGCACCATACGAGGATCTCCGAGGAGGCCACGCTGTTATCGCGGTTAAATGTCTTGCTTAAGAGGGGCACCAACCACTTCCTTCTCATGCTCTTTTGCGGAGAAGTAAGTATTGTGATGTTACTTGCAGTTCCAACCAAATGCCAATAAGCTAAGCGGGAATTCTAGCCCGAACTGGGAGAGATCTGATTTACCGCTGGTGTCAAAGACTGCTGTCGCAAGCCAGTTAGAAAAGCCACCCACCCTCTCTCTTGTGTCACAAATAGGATCAAGACGTCCCCGCCGTGAGGGGCTGCTCGGGAAGGTGCG